GGTCCAGAACATGAGCTCTGGCGCAGCACCGCCTCCTTCGAAATCAAGATGCCCCCAGGTTCAGGGTTCAAGGGTTCAAGGGTTCAAGGGCTTAGGGTTTAGGGTTTAGGGTTTATAGGGTTTAGGGTTCAGGGTTCAAGGTTTAGGGTTTAGGGTTTAGGGATTAGGGTTTAGGGTCTGAGTCTAGGGTTTAGGGTTTAGGGTTTAGGGTTTAGGGGCTTGAGCCTCCTGGTTGGTCCGCTTGTCCGTGTGCCGCTTGAGCTCCGCTCGGACCTCAGCCGGTTTCTGCTCGCCGTGCTCTGCATTTTGTCGCATTAGGCTCTGACCTCACCGATGCAGAGCTGCACTTGGCCGTCGCTGCAACCTGACCTGAAGTTTATCGGTCGAATCGAGCTCAACTTCCCACGCTGTCAGTGGCCCTGCGAGCCTGCCCTCAAGAAGTCGGAATACGGCCTGTGCATTGCATGCAGCCTATGAAATTTAGGACCGAGCTGGGCGGGTGATGGACTTGACCAGGCCTCCCTAATGATCGCCGACTGCACGGACACTATGGCAATGCCCATGCCACTGTGCTTCTGCACCTGCGACGGCTGTGCTGTGCAGTTCATGGATTGCACATATGGCCTGTAAGGCTTCACAATGGTAGGATGTAGCCCCGACACATGAAAAGCATAACTGTATAACCCCCTCCCCCACACAAAAAAAAATAGTAAGGCGTAGAAGGCCTATCAGTATCCACACGGGTGGGCCTTGCAGTGCTCACCCTTCGTCTCGATGGGCTGCTTGGGCACCGGCTGCGGCTGCGCCATCTGGACTTCCGCCGCTGTAACCTCACACGAGTTCGGTTTAGGGCTGATGGTTTAAGGCTCAGGGTTTAGGCATCACCGTGCGACGCTTCGCATCCCGAGCTGCCGGCATTCTTCGAGCTCGGCCTTGCGCAGCCATGGAGCGGCAACAGGACCCCTTTCGCTCTGGCAAAAGCTGGGGTCCTAGCACCGAAGAGGCAGCGTCTCCGATGAAGGTGGGCGATTGCCCTGAGCCCCCGCCACTGCTCGCCTAAGCAGAGAGTTGGTCTTCTCTAACAACATCTCATCCATCAGCCTGACTGTGGGCAGCACCGCGCCATTTCCTGCCGATTTGGAAGAACCTGCCGGGCACCACTCAGAATTCTAGGGCCTCTGCAGCAGGGCACAGCAAGGCAATGCAAACTCTGATGAGTCTCAGGCCATCATCCCCGCTGCCGGTACCCTGCGGTGTCAGTCTCTGTCTATCTGTGTTCTTTCAATCTGATAGGCCGCACCCCTGGGGCCCCTGGTGCAATCATGGGCAGCTGCCCCAACGCTCCGAGCCTTCTCCCCAGCACTGTGGCATCCATCCTCCTCACATGGGGGTTTCCGAAAATAGGGGACCTTAATACAGTACCCCAAATAATAGGATCCTTGTTATAAGGACCCCAAAATAATATAAGGTACCCCTTATTTTCGGAAACTCCCACATGGGTGCGACGGGTCGAAACCCTGCGACAGAGAGGCCTTGAATCCTTGAACCCAGTCATCCCTCCCAGGCCTTCGCAGCCGGTTTAGGGCTTAGGGCTTTGGGTTTAGGGTTTAGGGCTTAGGGTTTAGGGCTTAGGGTTTAGGGTTTAGGGTTTAGGGCTTAGGGCTTTGGGTTTAGGGTTTAGGGTTTAGGGAAGAGCACAAAGGGTCGTCGTGCATGAACGGACATTCTGGTGGAGTCTTTGGGAGTGTTGCACCCTCGAGGCTGAAAATACTCACAACCAATCGTCTACCATTTTAGGCAGTCACACACAGAACGTCTTGGGGAAACTCCAAAGCATGCAAATATGCACAAAAAGTCTGCTGCATTCTGAATTCCACTGTTTTCGTTTCTTTTTTGAAGTTAACCTGTCCTGAGGTCGAACGAGGCGAGGCGGGACCGCGAAAGACACGATCTCTGTCCTCGCGTCTGCATTGGGAATAAGGAACATGGAAAACATCGTTGTCATACGAAGAAACTCTACAAACCAGCGGATAAAGATCTCCTGTTGCTGTAGACGAACAGGTGGGGCTTCAGCAATAAATCCTTCGGCTTGACATTCTGCATCTTGAATGACGTGCTTGTACCTCCACCTTTCAGATGTTCGGCCAGGAGGTCTCTATTCAGGTGGTCTCTAACCGTCATCCGGTCAAGCTGGCCACCAGCTCGTTTCAGGATCCATCCAATGTGCATGTCCACTTTGCTCCTGGGCAACAGTTGTGGGTTTGGGCTACCTGTCCAGCCACGGTTCCTGTGAACGCTACAATCGACACATGATTTTTCATACAGGAAATCTTTCTCAACAATAACAAGGCACACTGGTGCAGAGACGGATGCCAAAGCAAAGCCTTCACCTCGGAGAGGTTACAAGGATTGTCGATGATTCGGATTTTCGCTGCACTGAAGGATGCTTCCAATATAGCTCCTACAGGGAGTTATGCTAATACAGTGCGAGGTTGCTACATCGGGTTCGAAAACGTTCAAGAGTTACCGTTGCTGGCACAATGTTGGCTTTCAAACAGCGAAAGACAATGTAAAGGTAAACAGAACTTGGCCCGGAGACTAGGAAACCGCTCGCGCCAGCCTTCCTCAGATGTGATGAAAGGTCTCACCAGGCAGAGTTGTTGTACGAAAAACTAAACCTACTAAGGCCTGAACCCCAGACTCAAGAGCCCAAGGCTTTACAGGGTTCTGGTCAAAGGACTAAGTTTGAAGGTCTTGTGATTTGATTCCATCTGGGTAGGCGCTCGACTTTACATTGTATGTCCTGGCCGAATGGGCCCTTGGATTCTGGTGCATACAGGTTTCGTGCAAGCAGTAATGCTTGCACGACATGAAGGACGCCGCCCTAAACCCTAAACCCTAAACTTTGCTGCTATGTTGTTGGAAGCTAGGGGTGCCAGAGTCTGGGCACTGCGGCATGCTTTGAGATGCTCTCTTTTCGCAAATCGCCCTCGAAACCTCTGTGCCTGTGCCGTGACCTCAATCGGTCAACATGGAGTTACCGGAATTGGATCCTGGAGTCTAAGTCCCAGTTCACAAGCATAACGCTGTAAGCTGCACTTCTTGAACATGGGGTCATGATGTGTGCCCTAATCTTAAAGCCGCGTCTCTGGCAGAACCTCCTGGCCCTCATAGATGACCGGAAGAGGAGGCGCAAAAGCGACCTTTCCAGCGACCTTTCCCCCTTTAACAGTGAAGAGGTGGGACTTCTGCACCCAGTACCGCTTCCAGTACAGTCTCTTGCAGGATCCCACCGCCTTGCACCTGACAGGACGGCGGCTTTGCTCCAATCATCTGCTGAGTACCCCTATGGGGCAAGAACAGAAGCTTGACACAATCCCCACCTTTCGACGAGCTCCTGCACCTTCAGAATTCCACCGGGGGCACTGCGAAGGATCTGTCCGACGGCCATGTCCGTCTGTGTTGGCGCCGTATGCGAGCGCAGAGCCGCCACGGCGAAGCCTTTGCTGGGAAAGCGCTTGGGCCAGTCAGCCTCGGCTCAGATCTCGAAGGTCGCAATTCAATAGTTCCTCAAACTACAAGAACCCACGTTTTTGTGGCTTCTTATTATCAACCTTCGTATGGAATTTAAAGGGGACACTACAAGACTAGCAGGATTTGGTAGGCCAAGATGTGGCCCAGGCTCCCCAGTACTTTGTCCTACTGAATTTTGCTATGTTGCTTTCATAAGGAGAACCCAAAGGGCGCAAGGGTACGACTGGGGGACACAGCATAGGATGTGCAAGGATACTATAAGGGCAAGCCTGCATGTTCCAGGAGGTGCCTGCGGAATGGATGTATAAAAACGAGAAAGGTCTATTAGTCATGCTTTTGTCATCTTGTGTAGGCAAGCAGCGATGTCTGCAAACACATCGGGATCCTTGTAACGAGTCGCGCCCAATTGAGCTTCTTGTGCGAAGTCAAGGTATAGATTGTTGTGGCATCGTAAAATCAACATATGATTGTGCTTTAAATGTAAGGCATCCAGGGCAACCGTCTCACTTGTAGATAGGATTGCAACGGGCAGGCAACCCAGAGGAGATCCGAAGCTTGAATGAACTCTCCACTACTCATGGATGGTTTAGGGTTTAGGGTTTAGGGTTTAGGGTAGTTCTCCAAAGTCAGGTAGGTAAACGATCCAACCCAATCTGGGTGTGCCAAACCTTGCAATCCCTACCCTACATCACTGTTGCTTAGGGATCCCATGGCATTCAGGTCCTGTGATGCGGCATTTCCACATCCCTCTTCCGGCTCTTCCGGCTCCTGGCAGGGGGAGATGCCGCCAGGATTCGGTGATGGAGAGATGTGGGACTCTTCGTTTGAGCTCGGGCTCCGGGGCCCTCTGCGGATCCTAATTCCCTCTCAACGGGAGTTCGGCACCAAAACGATGGCCCTATTCGGGTGGCCGTTCGGTGTCCGCTAAACATGGGGTAAATGCCCCAAGGCCGGATGTGCCTGGTGGAGCGACTGAAGTGCCAAGCCTCCAACCCAAAACTATAAGCATCAATCCACTCAGACCCATCCCCAGGCGCCCTGCATGGTGCAGAAGTCTAGACGCCTCGTCCTTTGTGAGCGTTCACAGGCAGATGGGCGTAACAAATGCAACGCTGCAGTCTGAAGAACAGGATATTCGTCATACAAAAAGCGTCAGCGGGAGCTATCCCAGCAGAAGCACAACCCGTGTCGCACGTGCAGGGGTTGAACTTCGAACCCTCAAAAATCTGCGACTTTAAATTGCACTCGTAGCCCACAATGAATCTGACCCCCGAGGCCCGTGCAAATTTTAAGCCTTTGCTACAACTTTCACCCTGAACGCTAAACCCAAAACCCTATAAACCCGAGACCCCTAACACCCTAAACCCTAAACCCTAAACCTCAACCCCTAAACCCTAAACCCTAACCCTTTAACCCGTCGTCCTTCATCTGGTCCGAGTCCTCAGAGTCTGAGTCCGAGGAGGATCCAGCTCGCTTGGGCTGTGGGCACTCAGCCTCCGACCTAGCAGCTGGGAAGTTCTCGAGATTAGGGTCCCTTTTAGGGTTTAGGGTTTAGGGTTTAGGGTTTAGGGTTTAGGCTTAGGGTTTAGGGTTTCGGGAGTTAGGATCAGGGGGACCCTGGGGGAGATAGACCCTCTCAATAAGGTCCCCCTTTTTAAGAGAGCCGGAAGTAGGGTTAAGAAGGGTCCCCCTTAAGGGGGTCTCCCTTGTACTACCTAGGATGTTCATAAGGGTGCCGTACTATATTTGGGATCAAAGAAGGGACCCTAATTTAGAGAACTACCCAGCTAGCGCTGTAGATCAAACAGAACCTTGGCTCGCCAAGGGTGTATGTTTTCTTGCTATCCTAGATGTGTCTCGTGGCTCGACCTTGGCTGGTTGATCCGAGATAATCCCCCTAGGCGTGTGTATCGTTGTCCGCCCTTGTTCTGCGGCAAGCTATGCGGGAAATGCGCTGTGGAGGACCCCACTTTGCTGCATTCTTGGCAGGGCGGGCCGCTTATAAGT